AAAGGTTAAAGGTCGCAGGCGCTTTCTCACTTAAAGTTGCCGTGATTACTCGGTGACCCAGGGCTGAAACAACTTCCCCTAGGCCCTACACACGACGTATACCTTTCGTTTCGATTCTCAGAAATTCCAACATTCAAAGGAAGCTAGAAAATGCGAAAATGTTATCCTAAAAGCTATATCGTAAGATCGTTGAGTAGTACAGAACGTAAAGATCGCAAGGGCTCCTTCACTAACTGCTCATTCACACTGGAAGCGGATCCGTGTTCGCAAAGCGGTTGCGAACGCGGTTGTATAAAGATCCAGTGCAATTGCACGCGCACTCGAGACTGGGACAAAAAGGGACGGACAAACACAAAGTGTTTGTCCGTCCCTTTTTGTCCCAGACATCGAGTGCGCGTGCAATTGCACTGGATCTTTATACAACCGCGTTCGCAACCGCTTTGCGAACGCGGATCCGCTTCCAGTGTGAATGAGCGGTAAAAGTTTGAGATTACGCGGTTACCTGGGGCTGAAACAACTCCCCCAAGGTTCAACATGCGACGCATACAATTTGCATTGATTCTCAGACATTCCACCGTTCAAACAAGGCTAGGAGTATACGAAAATTGCATGCAAAATGTCTTATCGATCCTCGAACACATCCAGGAATCCGAGCACCCTACGGCGATATGGCTGATGCTGTCGCAAAGGTGCTAAAATCCAGAGCGATCTTGCACAGAAAAGGTATAAAGTCACATTCTTTCGGATCTTCACGTTATACCTGCGTCAGAGAGCACGAACAATACCGAAATCGTCGGCAAGCAGCGGCACATTACGACTACCGCGCACCGAACAAACTCGTATCCACCAGCTCTGGGCGCTGCCATCTTACCGGTGACATCACGGCTCTTTTGAAGTCACATGACGAGTATTCGCTCGGTTGCTAAGGAAACCAAGCCAGCTCAGCTCGTTGCTATGGTACCGCGTTTGACCAATCACGATGAGAGGCGGCACAGGGAAAAGCGTGGCGCTACTCTGGCAGCTACGCTGCCATATATACTTTGTTTCACCTTGTGTTGTACCGCAGGAAAGGCTACAAGCGCGAGCTCCTTGCTCTATGGCACACCTCGGCGGCACAAGCTCTCGTGCATGAAGGGCAGCTGCCAACGCTATGAGCTCGCGCTTCTAGCCTTCGCTGCGGTACAACATAAGGTGAAACGGAGTATAGACGCTTTACACACGCGCCAAATTGCAGCCACCATTGCTGACCTTCTCTTGACTTACCGAGATGCCGAGCAACTGAAACGGTAGTTGACGATCCTCTACAAATGCCGATGCTTTAGAAAAGGACACAGTTGAATCTAATATGGCAATAACCTGGCCTGCTATGGTAATGATGAAGTGAAATAAACGGAATAAAAGGAAACAAAAACTGAAGGTCAGTTATGGCGGCGTCCATGCACAGCTGCTGCAAAGCGTCTATAGAGTGGCTCTAGTCGCGATGAATCGTAGAGTTATTACAATAAGCGCTAGAGGTTCAGTGGCGCTAGTGTGCTGTTTCATTTTTAGTTGAATTTTGAAGCAGACAGCAAGCAGTCTAAATTTGACTTCCAATATAGCATTGCTATGGGAAAACGCGAATGCGTTTTCTCTTCGCGCTCAATTATAAGAGCAAATATTGCTCAGTGTTGCGACAGAATAAAAAGTTTGGAACGTTTTACAGTCGGATGTACGAAAATATGCTTCAGCTAGAGCCTTTTTCTTTAGAATTCAGGCGTCGAACACTTGGCTATTATAGCCCAATACAGATGTAAAATACGTGTTGACGTTGCAGACTACTATTATAGAGCACGTATTTAGTCATACAATCAATGCTATAAAGAACACAGAGTAAATCGGCTTGAGGAAACACCAAAAGGACGCTAGTATATGCAAAATCAAGCAATCATAAAAGACGACCAGAACGAATCATGGAGTTATGGAACGAGGAAAACTTACTGGATTAGTAAAAAATTTTGCATGAATAATCGAAAATAAAGCAGTAACCGAGTGCTGTTGTTCTGAAGTAAATACGATTGTTGTACTTTTTGCTTGAATTCATAGCTTTTATTGACCTATAACGCTGTACAACTTAGACCTGGGCCTCAATTTCTGCTAACTTAAAAATAGCTCAGTAATAAAAGAAAACATGAAATAAATTAATTGCACTTTTATAACGTGAACAAAACTACATAAAACTGCATTACGAGTAAAGTAACTACGCTGATTTCTATTAATCCCTGGCGAAGAAAAAAAGAGCACGTACGTTTTCCCATAGGAATGCACAGGAAGGCTGGAAATGTAGACTGCATGCTGTCTGCTTCAATTTGCAACCGGAAGTCCAGTAGACACTAGCGCCAGCTGAGCCTCTAGCGTTTATTTTAATAACTCTATGCGATAAGTGTCCGACAACATATATTTCAGCTGGGAAAGCCCATGGCACACGTGTTCCCCGGCGATCTTTGTCGATGCAAGCGAGGCTCTTGAACCGAGCGTCGAGGCCCGTCGCCATCTCGTAATGCTGCAGCGGCGTACTTGGGTGCTTTGCTCGTAGGTGATACTGGAGCGAACTTACGCTTCCACTACACGAAAACGTCTTTTTGCAGATGAGGCAGTGGACTTCTTTCAAGGTAAATACTTCACCGCTGGAGTTTACTTTAAACCCACACATTCCGGCGAGGTTCTTTCATGCTCGTGAACTCGTCTATGTTTACAGGCCGTATACTGGAACAAGTAACAATGGCGTTGTCAGCTTCCCAGCTTGTTTGTCTTCTTCGTTGTCTTGAATGGGCAGGATGTGTTATAGATCCTCAACACGTGACGTTTCGCGGTCGCGCGGGGATCAGTTGCGGCCCCGGCTTGTTTGTCTGGCCTCGGCAGAACCCTATGTATATCCTCTAACGCGTGACGCTTCGCGAGCGCGAGAATTGAACCTTGCCCATAGCACCTGGCTGGGAACGGAAAACCGCTCGGGACAGAACGACCGGATGCACGCCACGCAGCGTTTTCCTTGGATGTGGGGGCATCAGTGTCCCCTAGTTCGGGCAGGTCGTCCAGGATAGAGCCGTGGGTGCGTCCAATTGACAAACCGATTAACTTGTGAAAAAAACATTCGCGATTAAAGCCTTAATCGATTAATCGGAAGGCTAATCGATCAATTACCCAGCACTGGTATTTTTCGCAAACGCAAAGCGAGAAACATGCTCCGCCCGAAACTGGGCGCATGCTAGGTCGCTTTCCAGGTTGGATCCAGTTCGGTGCACGTGCTTCTCAGGCAATACGGACTTGGCGGCGCAAGGAAAAGAAACGTGATACTCTCACTCTGCAAACCGAGGTTCTAGAGTAACTCTAATCCCAGCGAAATGAGTACGCCCCCGCTCATTTCTGCTTCTCTCACGAAGTTCACGTCAAACTCGCACGGCATTAGAATGGCTCGAAGCGTCTGCTGCTGGCAATCGTAAGGTGAAACGGAGTGTATTTCTGTCTCCACGGTCTTAATCCGTCCCAGAAAGTCGGCTTGCTATGAACGAGCGAAATTAGCAGCTCGTTTTGTGCGTGCGGGACGACTCCATGGCGTCCGTTGCCTTCGCTTTACGACGACGACGCGCGTGACGCATCCGCTTCCCCGGTCCTCTTCTCCCGATCGGGCCTATTGTCACGTGACAGCGTGCCCTTCGCGCCATCCGTGCTGCCATTGGCTGCGGCCCTCCGGCAGTCGGAGGGCGGTGCGACGAATACTCCAGCAAGTTGGACGCATGCCGGAGCCGGACAAAGTCCGACGCTCCGGTGCGACGAAAACTCTCGCCTCCGACCGTCGTTCCGACAGTTGGCACGTCGGATCGAAGTTTTGACGTGCAGGCGTCTCGCGCTTAACAACGCAGTTATTTATCGACTTTTGCCGGCGCGCCGCCACCCGAGAAGCGTCCGGCGCTTGCCTTACGCCAGTTTTTTTACCAGTAGCGGACTGCCACTCGCGTGGTGATTTGCACTGAGCCACCTCGCATTGGAAATTGTAAGAGACGATTTAACGTGCCGGCAACCTGGTAAAACGCTTTAGATCGCCAGATTGTCCAGAAGACTTAGTTATAGTTGGGGACCCGATGTTCTCGGGCCTATCTCGGTATTTTTTTACAGCGGAGCTGTTAAGGGCTAGCATTCCCAGTATCATGTCCGCGAGCAGCGGTCGACACTGAACTCTGGACCGCAACCGCCACCGCCATCTATGAACGACGGCGGAAACCAGACAACCGGCTTGCCGGTTCTCTGGTTGCCGCCGTCGCTTATATAGATTGCGGTAACCTTTCCAGCCTTTCCACGGTGGGTTGCCGACTTCCGGCCGGCCATTAGTTCATTCCCACCAGAGTGAAAAGGCTGAAAGTTTCTTCACGTGTGGTTAAAACTATTGCCGATGAGGAGCAGCTTCGTCTCTGTCCTTCCGTAGAAGATAAAACCCTCCTTAGAAGGCGAAACTGTTGTGTGCCTGATTGTTCCTTGCAGGCTGCGCCTTGCTAGAGCGGCCACGTCGAACGCTCTTTATAAGGGCAAGTTCCGCCTTTTCCTGCACGCGACCACCATTTTTCCTTCTGCTTCCTGATCGTCCCCAAAAACAGACGCACACTTGACGAAACGAGTGACGTTGCGTCTTCTTAAAGTTACCTCACGTAGTTTCACAAATGTTAATGCCCAAAATCGGCTTAAACAGCTCAAAAAGGGCTGTATAAAGTCGGAGGTAAGATGGCGGCTCCGTTAATAAGTGACAGAATTGTCCCCACACTGGGGGGGCCGCCAGCCTAGTAACATTGAGGCACTCTGCTCACCAATGGCAATAGCTAGAGTCAGCCCTAAAGAGGCCGACTAGGCATCGAAACGTCGGGTCACCAATTAGGGCTTGGTTGGACGTCCATAATGAGCATTCGTCTTCAGTCGTGTACGTCCCCCACTTCTCACGGTCACTGGTTTACAGGGCTGTTCGGATTATGCAGGAACGCCGAGACAGTGCAGTACTTCTGGCAGAACTGGAACGTGCCGGTGTACCATTGGTGCTTGCGCCACCTGTACAGGCCCCTCCTCGGCACGGGCATGTCCAGGTTCAACGCCAGCTGCTTCGTCTTTCTCGTATCCGCCTTCTTTCACGAGGTGAGCTACTATTCGTACAGGTGTTGATCAGTCGGGTCGTAACCGCTCACCCCGTAATCCTTCAAGACACACTTAAAGGGCCCATGAAACGATTTTTGGGTTGGGATAAATCATTTTAGATTGGGATTTTACTAATAGCACATCGTTCAGTGGACCAAAAGAAAAAAGGTAGAAAGTCAAAAGCCTGACTTTCAGTGCGAAAATTTGAAAACAGAGCGGACTATTTCGTACCTCCTCCCCTTCGCAACCTCTCTGCCTTTTCACTGTGATACATCCGCGGTCCCAAAAGCGCGTTATCGGGTCCAAACTGACGTCACACGCAACCGGACCTCACTTATTCCCTTCACCCCTAAGCTGACATTGTGGTGGAAGCTACGCGCTTGCCGGACCAATCAGCCGCCTCCCTTTCATCACCTGACTTCATTCTCTGCAGCCACATTTGCCACGCTCACGTGGCAAGTGTGGCTGGCCCAACGAGCACGTAGCTTCAACAGCACTGTCAGCTTCGGAATGAACGGGGTGGGGAAAGCAACTTTTGTCTGAATTTTGAGCGACGGGCTAATCTTCTAGGGGGAGAATGGATGTGTCCGGGATTACACAAACAAGAGTGCGAGCAAGAGGGGACTCCCCCTTTTCGTCTTCTTTAACCGTTTGGTGGAACGCGCGATTTATGAGTTGAGGAGGAAAGCGAAACAGGAAAAAGTTGGAAAAGCGTTTCATGACCCCTTTAAGTCCTAAAAAATGTTTCTAAGTAATTGGATAGGACAAGGATGTAACAAAGCATACTCCCCCCACCCCCCTCCTCAAAACGCATACGCTCCATGGCCGGTGAGCTTTTCTCCGCATCCGCCGGTTTTGCACTGAGCTTTTCTCCGGTGAGCTTATCTCCGCTGAGCTTTTCTCTTCTCCGGTAAGCTTTTCTCAGGTGAGCTGTTCTCCGGGATTCTACCTTTATGTGCGCGTTTAGCCATAAGCACAATGAAGAAGCGAGGTCACTAAAGGGTGACTGACTTCGCTTCTTCGGTCACTGTTCGGGTTCAGAAACTTCGGTTCACGAAGTTTCTTGGGCGCGGCACAATGGCTCTCCGGCATATCTTGAGTCAAGCAAACTTGATCTTATCAGCTCTACTTAGTTTCGGTGACCTAAACTTTGGTCCGAAATCGCTGCTTTTCTGCCTGTTATGGCTTATCTGTCGATACCTTTGTATGAGATGGGGTACCAGTTCTCCTAAAAATGGTGCTATGTCCATCGCGTCCACACTTTATCCACACCCGTGTTTTGCACAAATAGCAAAAAAAAAAAGGTGAGGCGAGCTTTTGTCCGGGTTTGCGAAAAAACGGGTGAGTTTTTGTCCGGTGAGCTTCTGTCCGGTGAGCTTTGGTCCGGTGAGTTTAATTCCCCTTAAACGTCGAGCCAAATGAAATGACAGACCTAATTTTAAGGGGTCATGAAACGATATCGGGTTGGAATGATGAATGATCATGACTTTGCAGAGGCGTACAGGTTCTGTCTGGCCAAACTATACTCGAACAGACCACCATTGAATCGGAAGCTTCTTTGTTGCGGTGAAATTGCGAAGATAAAAGGGGACTGTTTCTTTCAGTCTTGCGCACGCAGAGCTTAATGACGTAATTGTGGAATCGAAATCACCCGTCGGACGACAGTCGAGCGTGGATCATGGATTGGACACGAGAACCGCGTGAGCATTAGACTTCGCCTCGTCACAATCAATGCCTCGGCGGACACTCGGGTGGTGGCTCGTGTCCAACGACTGCGGTGATGAGAAAAGCCGAACTCTAACAATGCCTGGAGCACAGCACGCGTTGTCTAGTTTGCCAACCCCAGCGGGCGGTTATGCTTATGATTAACGTTGGCAGCGTATGATAGGCACCAGGTCATGCGGCCGTTCATTCTCGCTCCCAGTTAATTAAGGGGATGAACGATGCCCGTATTTCTTGCATTTTTTTGGCGACTACCTTTGCATAAAAATAAAAACTAAGGCGAGTTTATTCGGTTATTAACGTTATGGAGGGATTGTAAGTAGTATTTAGCGAAATTATAAAAATCGTTTCATAACCTGTTTAAGGGGATGACGAAATGCGATTGCTACCGAAATATTACATCAGAGTGAACCCGCGTTCCACTCAAAAACCGATAATAAAAATGCTACCTTCAACGTCAGAGCGAACCTTCGGCAGGTTCTTTTTATTTTTATTTAGCGTATTGGGGCTAGCCGTGAAGCCAAACCTGGTTTGCAGACGTTACGAAAATATAAGCACATTTAAGTATTAAAATTATTATCAATAAAGACACATATTTTCATTATTTAAAGCATCCGTCGCTAGGCAGTTCCATCGATCGACACGTTCAGCAAAAAATGTACTTCAAATGAGTCCGTATTAAAGCGGTAAGACACAATGAATTTGCCATGTTCCGTTCTATTGGGTTATTGAAGTTCCCATGTGTAACATATTTCTGAAAATCAGTAAGTAATCATCATGTAGCAGTTTAAAAAAGAAGTTAATTCGAGTCAACATCATCATGCTACTTATAAGCAGTACGTTGGCATCTGACTTCAGTGGGGAGAGAGTCTCTGCATTGTTAGCAATCGAAAATAAATCGCACAGCAGCAGCTTTAGTTTGTATGCTTTCTGTTTCGTAAATCTTCGATTGCTTGAGCGGTTCCCAAACTGGGCTTGCATATTTAGTCGTTGGTAATATCAGTGAGTTCTCTGCTGTTAATTTGAGCTTTGAACCGGCAAATTCTAGCTTCCGTCTAGGTGTTCAAATATTTTATGCGCTTTATGGGAAACAGTTTTTGTGTGTGCATTTCAGTTAAGATTCGATAAAAAAGTGAAAGCCGTTTACAAATCCCTGTAACGCCGAATTGGAGCGCAGCTCTTCAGGAGGAGGAGGGAAGGGTACTGAGGGGGGTCACGTCACCTGCGGGTAGTCACGTGACCCCGGGGGGGTAACTTGGTCTCGGAGGAGGGGGGTCACGTGACCTCGGTGGGGGGGTCACGTCACCTGGGGGGGGTCACGTGACCTCGGGGGGATCACGTGACCTCGGAAGGTGGGGTCACGTGATCTCGGGGGGGGGGGGGTCACGTGACCTCAAGGGGGGGTCGGGGGTCACGTGACCCCCCCCCCCGGTTACGCCGACGGCGACGCCAGGCTGGAAACGGGCCCCTAAGAGCTGCGCTCTAAAAAAAAACTCCTAGGTATCTGTGCTCCTAAACACGTTTTGAAGCCGTCGCAACAACACTATAGGTGCTAGTACTTCTTTCGTGTTATGTTCATGTCTGCAGTCTTGTTTCGGTCTATTTCCATTTACCATTCGTCATACCAGCTAGTCAATTTCATTTAATTGCTCATTTAATTGCTTCTGCTCATCTAATGTCAGTATTTCTGAGTATAAAAATTTATTATTGGCCAAACATTTAGTTTTTATACCCGCTTGAAGTCCTCGGCTCATGTCACTGATATAAAGGATGAATAGCAGCAGACAAAAAAACAGACCTCTGAAGCACTTCTTATATAATGGATAACTTTCCTGACATTGCACTCTTCAATGGCACAAACTGCTCCCTACCAACAAGATAAGGTACAAGCCAGGTAAATATTCGGTCATTGTTAAGAATATACTTTAGTTTATGAAGTGGCAATTTGGATAAGAGACACGATCAAATGTCTTGGCCGAATTCAAGGACTCTACTTCTATTTGTCCGCTCTTGTCGACGAATGAACTTAGGTCCTGGGTAACTTCTATTATTTGTGTGGCTGTTGAGCGACCTCAACTAAAGCCATATTGATCATCTCCTAGAAGGTTTTTATCGTCAATAGAAGGTATGATGTGTTCGGCGATGACGGGTTAAAGGATTCTGCAACTGGTACCTGTGAGTGAGGTTAGACTATGGTTTTGTAAATTTGTTCTTTCTCTCCGCTTTGGTATCGGAACTATGGTTTCTGACTTCCATTCACGTACGAGACTGCCACAAGATAGTGATTTTTTATATATAGCGGCAAAGTAAAGAGAACACCTTTCTGCACATTTTTTTTCTAAGAATATGTTTAGGACTGCATCAGCGCCAGGTGACTTTTTGACGTCTTATCAATACCTGGAATCGCTGATGTGTGTATTTGAGAATTCTGAATTACCTCGCTATCTTTTTGACACGAAGCGGAACAAACCGATCGATAGCAGTCTGTGATAGTGTTTTAAAAGCAATCCACGTTTGATCTACCGTTGTGGTTCGCAATAGAATGTACTCTTCGAAGTCTGTAAAATGTAAATCTTAATATTAATGAACAAAACACTGGGCCATGGAATCATGCTCGTATCGCAATTTCTTAAGCTGCGCCTTTCCACTACGGTTACAGCCGTCTTGGCCCTCTCGGCAGAGAATCTGCCTTCTCACTTACAGCTTGTTGTTTTAACAGCCTGCCATTAGAAAGTGATCATGAGCGATCGTGGTGACCCGATTGTATGGAAAGCTACATTCAAACTCCGTGGAATGTAAATGACGGGCACGTAAGCTTCATCACTCTATTAAATTTGACCAAGATAGGATCTGTTATAACCGCTAAAATCTGTTATGATGGAGGAACAAATTAAATAACCGTTGTTCTCTGTGCCACTCCGAAAGCTTCAAATGTTCACGTCATAATTAGCTTAGGTTCTGGTTTATACAGACGATATAGACTCACTCGAAAATGGTCGTTCCTGATAGGGCAGCGAGAATAACGCTGCACAGCACGTGACGTACAAAAGCGCCATTAGTGGATTTTCTGACAAACAAAACGACCCAGTCGAAGAACTGGTAATATATCTTGTACAGCGAAAATTTCCAATTTTCATCGCCAATCATCAGTGCGATCATAACGGCATGCAGCTCTTTTTGTGCACGAGATATAAAACGTCTCTTAATTCGGTTTAGGATAGCACCAAATAATGTTGTCCTGCAGATATCAGAAACATAAACATCGGAAAGTAGATATGCTGAATGCTTTGCTCAGGACTTAAACACTAATATTAATGCGTTAGCATTAGAACGCTTGTTTTAACAAAAACCCGGCGGAATTTTTTTTTTTTTAGCGATGGGGGGAAAGAGAGAAGGAGGGGGAGAGGGTGACGCGTGCGACGCTCCCATTGGTCCGATGCGCCGGCGTCAGCACGCGTCAACTTCTCCCTCTTTCCCCGGCGCAGACAAACTGACAGACACCACCAGATTTTCGTCAAAACGACCCCTTTCGTTATCGCCGAAATCACGCGCACAGCTGGCGCGGCGCCAGAGGCGGGGGGGGGGGGGGGGGGGGGGGAGGGGGGAAACACCGCGCAACACCTTCTAGATAACAAAGCCGTAGTGCTGAATGAGATGGCATTATCTGAGAAGGTCGATGCTGGACACAGATTGGGAATGAGTGCTCGTCAGCGCGGATGTGTTATCTAGGAGGTGTTCCGCCACGGCGCGGAGGTACGCGAGCGTGCTCAGTTGTCGCTCTGGTTTTCCGTAGTAGCGGTGCGTGGGCTGTGATGTATGTGTGTGTAGTTAGAACGATGGATGCGCCTCCCTCCATGACTGATATAAATGAGGTTCCTTCCACGAGTGGTATGGATCTGGTTCTTTCCACGAGTGTTATGGATGACCTATCCAAGGGCATCGACGTACTCTGACAAGCAGAGTATAAAAAAGGGATAAAACAAATTACAGGAACATCCAATGATGGATTCTTAAGAAATGCGTTAGCATGACCCATGGGAAACGTCACACACCTCCCCCCCCCCCCCCCCCCCCCTTTGGGAAATGCTAACACTGACCCGTGACCAGGCCAAAAAGAGGCAGCAAAAAATGGAGGAAGCGAAAGAGAAAGCCAAAAGACAAAGCCAAAACAGAAGAGTGGAGCGGTCAGCGTTAGCGATTCCCAACGGGGGACGTGTGTGGCGTCTGCCAAAGATCTTGCTAATGAATTCGCTAAAAATCCACCAATGGATCTTTCTGTATTTTTTTTTATTATTATTATTATTCATAGCGACGAGCTTGCTTTTCGGCCAGTAACTTTATAAATATGCATTAATGTTTGATACCAACTTTGAATAGCTAAAAGGTAGCGGAGCGAAACAGTTGTAGCCTCTTCCCTGACTTATGAAAACCGCTCCTGCGACTGGACCAGTCGTTGGACTCGCTGCGTCGCGGTACGAGAGTTACGCCAGTCATGTAGCTTATCACCAAGGTTGTCGTTCTTTGAGCCGGCAATTTTGATTTCATCGTAGAATCCGAAACAAAACTGAGACGACAAGCTCTCTACAAACCCACACAAGGCACCGAAAAAGGACACCTCGTAATCGATCCCGTAAGTGGGGCGTCACCGCGCAAAACAAATCGTTGCTAGGGGCGCTGTTATGGACGAATACATGGGACTGGACTCCGCTCCGAAAGAATGATCGGTCAAAAGTCAGACGTGAAATATAAACGTTTAAAATCATAAAAAAAACACATAGATTTCACACTTACCACGACAGAAGTTTGCCGAGAATAGGCTGCTTCTGATATATTTGCGACGCGCACTTCTGGTCCTGGAAACGTCTCGAAATGCATTTTGGAGACGACGAACGCATGGCGAACGCACGCGGAATCACTGTAGTATGCCGTCTGCAACGGATTGAATTGTTTGCACAATGATACGATTTTGATTTTGAATTTATCTGTAACATGGTAAGCCTAAGACAACTAATCAGGTTTACAAAAATGAAAGCCGTTTACAATTCCCTGTAAGGCCGGTTAGAGCCCAGCTCTTGAGGAGGAGGATGGAAGCGTACTGAGGGATAGGTGTCTCCTTGAGGTCACGTGACCTTAAGGGGTCACGTGACCTTAGAGGGGTCACGTCGCCTCAGGTGGTCACGCGACCACGGGACCTCAGGGGGTCACGTGACCTCGGGGTTGGGGACGTGACCTGGGGGTCACGTGACCTGGGGGTCACGTGGCCCCAGAAGCTTACGTGACCTCAGGGTGTCATGTGATCTCGGGGGCGGGAGGGGTCACGTGACCTGGGGCGTCACGTGACCTTGGGGGGTCACGTGACCTCGCGGTTACGCCAAGGGCGACGGCGACGGCGACGCCGCTCAAGCCGGAAACGGGCCCCTAAGAGCTGTGCTCTAAAACGAATTGTATTTGCGTGGGGTACGGGATACTGTCTGACGAAAATCACCACACGCATAGAGATCTGCTAAAAATACAGCGAGAAAAGCATCTCTTGAGAACATTATATCAAAGCTGCGTCGGGCCCTCTTTCCAAATCCGCAGTTAACATGAATTGTAATAAAAGAGAAATTATTTTGACTCTAGCATAAGCGGTTCGAGACCCCAAACTTCGTTTTTCAGCCTCGCAATACGGGTGTGTTTCGTACCTGCCTTGTAATCATAGAAATGAGAAAAAATCCTACTGATACTTTAGTTTTAAGTAAGTCCCCAAGCGTGCATGTCTCGAAGGAGACGCTTCTGCGTGCCTCTAGAGGATTCAAGTATGCTCTTACCCCGAGCGTAAAAGATAAAAGCACCAAAGCGAGCTTGCCTAGTCAGCATCGCTGTCATCATCTGGTGGGCTAGTTGGTTGATCGTTATGTGGCATGAACAGCGCAAAAACGACAAGGATAGACAAGGAAGGATAGACTAACAACTGACTAACAAACGTCAATTGTTAGTCAGCGCTCTATCATGTCTCTCTTTTATATCTTTCCTTGTAGTATTTGCGCCTTTAATTCCATATATTGCCTAGTCAGCCTCGCCCTAGCTCACTAACGAGCATTTTAGACTTAAGAAATTGGGAACAGCGCGCAAAGAAGACGAGGACAACAAGAGTACAGTACAGGACGAGCGCTGACTATCAACTGAAGTTTTATTAAAAACGGCTCAAACAAGAAAACACCACAAAGCCAATCAACGGCGTAACAACCAATGGCGTGTCGATCACGACACGCGACAAGACATTGGTTGTGAACCAACTCGCCTGCATCGCCACCTTAATTCAGAGCATTCTAGATCGAATGCTCTAAATGCCGAGTGTTGCAGATAAGAAGCCGAATAGCACTGAGCCATACAGTGCAAAAGAAAGCCACGCCAACCGGTTTTCCTGACACTGTTGAAGCTATGAGTGACGCAGCGCTATTCGATTCGAACCACTATTCGCACACCCCCATCAGCCCCTTTCACCCAGCAAGACGTTTCTTGCGGCTGTGGTGAACTGCACGAGCGCGGCGTGCTTGAAGGCAGGGCCGGCTTTTGGGCGACATAGGCGGTCGCCCAGGGCGCCATCAATAGGGGGGCGCCGCACCGCCCCCTTTTGAAATTATTTTAGCTTGTTTATTTCTTTGAACAGAGCGCCCTTCGTTTTTGGAATGCAGTTATCGTCTGACGAAACGCTCGTGTTGAACCATTACTCACATGTTTACTAACAACGTGATATCATACCTAGTGGATGGGGGCGTATAAAAAAAAAGGGGGGGGGGGGGGGGCACTGCCGGGGTTCGTCCAGGGCGCTTGATGGGCCGGGCCTGTATGCCTGCGTCATTGTCATGCCTTCGGTTTGTAAAGCTAAAGTCGCTTCGCGCGAAGCCTATCACGGTGTTCTCTCTCGATCTGTACGTAACAGTGGCATACGATTCTTTATCGCGGTAGTAAACGTAATTTCTCTCTTGGACAACCGTGCCACGGTGCAATGTTGGAGTTTCGCGGCACTGTGGGGTAGCGTACAGGTTCAGTCCGTCCTCGCTGGCTTGTGCTCGTTCCGTTCCTCGTGTGGATGCGCTTAGAGACAGACAAACAGCGGACATGTCGTCACGTTATCAAACTGTCCACGAATCAGTCCGTTTTGTGAATCGTTCATTAAGAATGAATTAAGTATAGCGGTGCCAAGATTCTTACATTCTAACACGCGGTCCCCTCTAGCAACTCCTGCGTACAATCTTCGAAATATTTACATACAAATGTGCAATCTTCGGTGAAACTTTGTCATTTTTTCACTGCCGCTACATAGCCGCACATTGTTGACAGCAATAACATTTTTGTGTCTTGCACTGTGTGACGAGTGTCATGGCCTGCACAAGAGCGTCCGTAAGATGTGCCTTTCTTGCTCTTTGCAGTTCGTGCTCAGCGTCCCCCTCCGGATGTTCCGCGCATGGGCTTTCACCGGCATGCTTCTGCAGGTGAGTGGCTTTGATCGCTGGGATGAATCGTGTTGAACTAGTGGGACCAAGCGGACAACAGGCCTGGATCGGATGTTCGCCAACAAGTCATTCGCCTTTGTGTGCACTGTCATTTTAATTCCGCGTGACGCCAAGGACGAAACATTACATAATTAAAATGCGGTATTGCGTATCCTGCTAGGCGTTAGGTGCTATACCTTGTTCCCTCTAGGGTGCCATCATGTGCGTTTTGCCTAGGGTGATGACATCTGCTCATTTTAATAGAAACATTTTTTTTTTTTTTTTTACACAGGTTGTTTTTATGGGCTGGGGTTTATGCGAAGACCGTTAGGCTCAAGTGCGACAAAAGGTGTTACACACAGTCTAAGGAAACCCAAAGCAGGCCTCAGAATATATAGTTGACGTAGTTGGTCATACTTAATAACAGGCAATTCTAACTAGGAATAATTATCGGAATATTAGGAATAATTTCTAACAACTAGGAGTAATTTACAAGTGCTGAACCTCGGCATTGGCGACAGACGACAGTGGACGAGTTAATCCATCCTGCTACGTCATTGCAGGTTGGTTTACGGTACTTATTTCACGTCAACATTTCGAGCTTTGTCGCTGCTGCTGCCTGTGGTGTTTACTGTTTGGTGAACGTTTGTTTCTGGTAATAGCCAACGGATTGCGTTTGAAATTTCAAGAGGAAATCCTTGATGCCGAACAATATATTTCGTGTAATGAGTGCGAGTGTTCGTACCACTGCGGGGTTTGCGCTGGTGTGTACGAAGGCACACTAAAAACAAAAGGCGGGGCATACCGTAAGGCATGGAGATGCCCCGCTTGCCAAACCTCTAACTTGAAAGGCGTTGCGGTCAGGAAACAAAACCCGGGTGGAGACTTTTCAGTATAAATGAGTTTGGCTGGCATGAACAGAAAGCTAGATGCGCTATTAAATGTGAAAGAAAATGTTGGGCGCGTTGAGGCATCTGTCAGCACAATGTCTGCTCAATACGATGAAATTCTGTAAGCTGTCAACAAACAAATTAAAGAGATGAAATAGGTAAAAAGTAGAGTTGCAGAAATCGAGAAAAATATATAATGAGGAGGAGGTGAAGGGACTCAAGACAGATCTTCATGACATGGAATGGCGAAGCCGTAAGCTCGATTTGGAGCTCTATAGTATCACAAAATGTAATCACACTAACCTGATAAGCAAGGTAAATGAAGCGGCGCGAACTCTAGAAGTGCACGAGCTGGCTGGAAACGATATCAGCGCGGTTCACCCATTGCCATCAAAACTGGACAAAATCCCAGGCGTCATTGTCAGGTTTGCGTCCCAGACAACTAGGGATGCAGGGCCCTACCGAAAGAACAAGCTAAGGGCAACCGGAATGAGGATGTATATTTGCCCGGAATGAGAGTGTACATTTACCAGAACATGACTAAACAAAACCGGGAGCTCCTAACGAAAACAAAAGAATGAGTGAAAGCGAATGGTTTGAAATACACTTGGCACAGAAACAGAAAGATCTTTGCCAAGTGCAAGGATGGTGACGATGCCGTTGTGATAAGAGTGAAGACGATCTGCATGTGATTAGTTCGTAGTTTCAGCGTCAAGCTTGTTTACGCATTGTGTGTTTTTTTTTTTTTTTTTAGTTGACAATGAAATTTTTATACTTGTTTCCTGTCGGCTTCGCAAAAAATCTTGAAGGTGGTTTTGAGACTTGACTGAAACTTTGTCACTGGAATGTACGGTCGGCGAAGAATAGTACAATGGAACTCGAATGTCTTTTTAGCCAAACTTCGGTTAGATTGAACATGATTATGTTCACTCAAATATGGTATTTCGACGAGGCTGATGCCGATATAATCGTCATTCGTGTCCAGGTCGCTTGCACCTTTGCAATAATTGCATTATAATTAGAAACTGATGCGTTTAATTTGCCGTCCAATAAAAGTTACTGTTTAAACCGGTCTTCAAGTCGCGGTGGTGGTGACCGCGCATCGGTCTAAGAAGACATTAACAACCAACTATAAAATTTCTGCGTTACAACTGGAGACCACGAAGTGCAATCTCTGTTAGCAGATAATATGCTTATTTGTGTCGCTTATCGACCGCCGGATGGCAATATTGTGAATATTTTACGTTTTATTCCAGAGGCTCTTGGCATTCGGTAGTGACACTAATTGCAGTGTGATAATCGGTGGGGATTTTAATATCAATGTGCTAGTTGATAGCACGCCTAAGAATGAGTTTGAACTATTACTCCCAACGTACGGACATCTTAATACGATAACCAAACCAACACGAATGACAGTTCACACAGGAACTCTAATCGAACTTTCCATTGCAGATCTTGATAATACACGTCTAAAGGGAGGAATATTTAGCTCCCTTGATCAACTCCCAATATTTATTTGCATAAAAAGGCTCCACCCAAAACGATGCATTCGGTCATCAAGACGCTTTCAAAATGTAAGGCCTCATAATCTTGTTATGTTTCGCAACGATATGGAAAGCGCGAGCTGGAATGATGTTCTGGCAGATACTGATCCCAGTATAGAATATAATACTTTTTAATAGGTTTCGGACGATCTATGCGAAAGATTTTCCTTATAAGATATTTAAATTGTCACGTACAACTCGAATGCCGTTGATTACCCCAAGCCTTCTATCCCAAATTATAAATAATCAGCTATTTCATACATTCAACAAAACTAGAAATCAAGATAAATTTAAAAAGTTCAAGTCGTATAGAAACCAGCTGTCAAAAAAATAGCGAAGCGCTATGGAGCGTTATGACCTTAACAGTTTTAACTCGACAATTGAAAATGTTCAGGTCACCAGGAAAAAAGTCAATACGATTTTACAGGGTAGTCGAAACAATGAACACTTAGAGAATGTGTAAGTATATGTCGAAGAAATAAAAATACCGCTTTAGCTGGTATGTCTAATTAGAAGTTTGTAAATTTAGTTAATTTAAATTACGATGATGAGGCGTGTGGGTATATTAAAAAAGGGATTCATAATGGAGGTATATGCACACAAAAAAATAACGAGTACAGGAAGAGTAGCACACAGGACAGGGCGTGCTAGACTTCTTGTCCTTGTTTCGAAGCGTATAGTGCCATTATGAATGAGAACCAACTAGCCCAACTCGTAGTTTTAATAAAAAGAGAACTGCAAATTCAATATTTCTGGATTCGATTGACGATTCCTAGGTTTTTAAGGCATTTGTGAATTTGCATACTACTCGTAGCAGAGACATAGATGATATACAGATTAGACCTCTGAAATGCGTTTTCGACCTAATTATGCCTTATTTGACTTATATATTTAATCTATTCGTATCTGAAAGTGTATTCCCTAAGCGTATGCAGGTATCAAACGTTTCTGTACCGGATAAGAAAGGTGATAAGAATTATATTAATAATCATACACAAGTTTCCACACTGCATGTTTTTTTTCAAAGGGGCTATAAAGCCTTATTCACCACGACTCTCAATTTTTCTTTTGAATAAGCATCAGCTGATTACAAAATCTCAGTTTGGATCTGAAAAGCATCGTTCCACTGACAATGCCTTACTTGAAGAAAGGGAATTTATTTTGCGTAATCTAGAAAACTAGTTTTGTGGGTTATACGGTATATTGACTTTACTAAAGCCTTGGATTATTTGAACCACAAGCTTTTACTATAAAAACTTGAATGTTGCGAAGTACGCGGGCAACCTCTGCTTTCATTGCAATCATATCCAGGAAATCGTAAAAAATGTGTGTTCTGTAATCATTTTTCACCCAGTAGAAAACCCATAGTCTCTGGAGTACCAGAAGGAAGTATCTTAGGCTCTTTTCTTTTTAACGGATCAGTAAATGACATTGTGAATATCGATCAAACAACTAAATGGATAATAGATGCTGATGATACTACACTTTTGTGTGCTCCGGACGATCCTGAGCAGCTCGTGCTAAAAGTCAACTTATTATTAGGCCAGATATCGCTATGGGCAGAAAAGAATGATTTAAAAATAAATAAAAGTAAAACTAAAGCCGTGCTATTTCGATCTAACCATAAAATTTTCACCTTATAACAACACCATTACTTTGAACTCGGTAAATCTGGAATTAACTGATAATTTCAAAACACTTAGGGTAGTAATTTCTCAGAATATGTCCTGGGATAACCATATCGAGTATTTAAATATAAAATTGTCAAGAACTGTAGGATTGATATGTCGACATCGGTATATGCCGTTATTTTCACAAATCGTTATTTTATTTCTATTCAGTTATCGCTCGTTTAGAACTGCAACATATCTTAAGATAGCTCACCTGCTTCAAAAAAGAATGTTGTGAGTACCTGACCTTTCGCACACGCAAAACCTGTTCAAAACATAATATACTCAGTATCCCCATTTTTTATGACTATATGTTATCCACAAAAAATAGAACAAATTTCTCTATGACACTTCGTCCCTGGCAGAATTGTCTTGTTTACAACGACACACCGTACCATACCAAATTTGTAATCCTGATTACTGACAAGTGCCGACGTGTCGGCTAAACAGAGGAAAATAAATGTTAGCATACAGCAGCAGGACGCTCGCAAGGATTCGGGAAAAGTGCTACTGGCCGGGGCTACCGAAGACCGTTCATCTCTACACTCGATCTGGCCACGAATGTCAGCGATGCAAGAAATCACCGACGAAACCGTCAGGACTTGCGCGTCCGATTGCTTCGCCGTCCACACCGTTCCTGCAGATGGCAATGGATTTACTAGCCATTTTCCGCCATCAACGTCGGGAAACCGCTGCATAATCGTTGCCACAGACTATCCCACGCGGTACGTTTAAACAAAAGCCCTTCCTTCAGGAACTTCTGTGGAAGTCACCAAGTTTTTCATAGAGTCCATCGTCCTCAGCCATGGCGCTCCCGAAGTTCTGATTACACATCACGGGTCATTCTTCATGGCCCTGCTGATGCCAGAGATTCTCCGTCTCAGCCACATGAACCACCGGCGAATCACAGCGTATCCTTCTCAGGCTAATGGGCTGACTGAACGCCTAAACAAGACCCTTGCCGATATGGCATCAATGTACGTCGACGTGGAACACAAGACGTGGGACCAGGCCCTACCGTGTGTCACATTCGCTTACAACACAGCGGTCCAGAAGACCACTGGTGTTACACCATTCCAGCTGCTGCATGGTCGCAAGGTGATCACGGTGCTTGACGCCATGCTACCTCACGAGCCAGCAGGCGACGGAAGCGACGATGCCCAAGTGGTTGCGCAACGAGCAAAAGTCCGCCAGCTCTCCCGAGTCCGGATCCAATACTAGCAACGACTGTGGCCGCTACGACCTTCGTCGTCTGGACGTTCCCTTCCTGCCCGGGGACCGGGTGTGGTTGTGGACACCGAGACGACGTCGTGGCTCAGCGAGAACGTTTTAAAGGCTACTTTGGACCATACAAAGTCCTTCGACGCCTGTGAGATCTCAACTACGAAGTGGTGCCTGATGGAAAGCATGCATCATCACGACCCGATGTGGTTCACGTCGTTCGACTCAAGGGATTCTACGCTCTATAGGACTGTGGACCTTATGTGTTCCAAACGAATTTTTTTGCTTGCCCTTCTTATTATTTGCATTGTTTTCTTTTGTTTTCTTTTGTGTTACATCAGGGCAATGCACTTTTTTTTTTAAATATCATACGTCTGCTTGTAAACTTCGGGACAAGGGAGCCAACGACGAGAACAATAAAAGAGAGAATACAATGACGTCTCAAATTTTAGTCATCGTTGTGTCGTCCTCTTTTTTTCTTCCTCTTAATTTGTTGTATACACTTCCACACTGACGGAGCTAAGCCTCCAACATTCGTTGGCAGTACCGTGTATTCTAATAATTTACAAGAATGAAACGTTTAGATTCTTGCTCCAGTATTTTTACAGCTGAAGTGTATGCAATCTCAGTGGCTATAGATAACATACTTTTGGCTAAAATAAAGCGGGAAATTTTATTTGTACACTCAAAGTGCTATTATCGCAATGTGATATTTAAAAGTAACTGAGAATATGATTGTGTGACAACTGAGAAATAAACTTAATAATTCTGTACACGAAGGCATTAATATAATAAAAATCTTAAAGCGCAAAACGACGAGGAAGGAAAAAAAGAGTAATATGTACAACCAGGAATGGGCAAAATACATGCAAATATGTATCGAAATACAAATACAAAATACTTTGTCAGAAATGTAATTAATTACAAATCTAATTACATTTGCAAAAAAGCATTTAAATACAAGATACAAATACAACCAAAGTTATTTGGTGTCCTCCAAATACTTTTCCAAATACATTCCTCAAAATTTGCGTCAGCGACTTCAGGGCACCTCCAACGCATTTCTGGGTATCTCATTTTAATTTTGCATCGCACACTCGGGAGTTAGTGTGCGAAGCTCTAGTAACGTAATAGAAATATAATCACAAAAAATGCAATCAACTTGGACGTAATAGGTGAAAAAAGTACAGAGCTTAAAGCAGCTTTTTTTTTTGTCAATTACATTTTGGTGTAGACCAACAAAGAACCGAGACGACCAAGACGCGCAGCACTAGCTAGAGAATTTTTTATTGTTGCAACTCGCACTAGTTACGAAAATCTGGACGACCCGCGCATTTAAATGTTCCAGGCGAAAATATGGATGGAAATCAGGCTCGAAAGCATCACAAGTTGTCACAGGCGCTTATTTAGCCAGTCTGCCTGTGAATGTCGATTTCGTCACAATTCTTGCCCTGGACTAGCACCGTAATCACAAAGTCACTAAACGCTTGTGCTTGATTGAGAGCCACTGCATTCGGTGCAGAACGTAGTTTTGTTCCTGCTCTGGAGAGTGACAATAAATTTGAGGGATGTATTTTCGCCCACAAAATTGTATTTAATTACAATTGTATTTGAAATACCCACGTTTTAGTATTTTAATACACACGTCAAATACATTACCCAATTTGTAATTAAATACAAATGCAAAATACACAAAGTATTTGAAATACTGCCCATCCCTGTGTACAACCAACTAGCCCGCCAGATGATTTTAATGCATTAATATAGAAGTTTGTTTGGTTACCAACGTTATGGGAATAATAGGTAATGAGAAAGCAGACAGACATGCTTTATCTTCGGTAGATCTTCCCCCCTATGACGCCTATTTGCCGCACCAAGATATCAAATCTGTAATAAAGTCATTACTCGTCAATTTTTTACAGTCAGAGTGAAATATTTATTTGTTTATTTATTTATTTATTTACAAAAAAAACCTGCTGCGCCAAAGCACCGGCATTATAGCCAGATGCAGCCCATATATAAAAAAAAAACTCGCAATAAAAAGCAATACAAAAGGACACTTGAATATTCAGCGGGGACTGCAGTAAAAAAATATATAAAGGTTGGCCATAAATAACAACATTAAAAATCAAGACCAATTCACGGATAAGTGGTCCGACGTCGTCATCAATAAAAACAGACTCGGGTAACAAATTCCATTCAGTAATTGTGAGTGGAAAAAAAAAGCATCTTTCTTATAAACTGTCCGACACCAAATGTCCCTTATCTTTCGTGAAAACATAATTATGTAATTTTTTTTAGTTGCTTTTGTCAATGTCTGTCAGCTCATTAAAAATCGCGAACAAGAACCTTAATCGAAAATATTTGCGTCTTAAAAATTAAGGTTCTTAGACAAGTAAACGCTTAGTCTTCATTACGCTGTTTCTGTTATATTTTCCTGTTACAAATCTCGCGCCACGATTTTGAAGTGTAATGCGATAATAAGTTTAATGAAGTTTAATGCGATAATAAGTTTAATGAAGTTTTATGCGATAATAAACATCATAATAAAAAGCAGGTCCTTGAGCTCTGGGAGAGATCCTCACTCAAGAATCGAATCCATGAAGATTATTGTGCCGTCTTCGCATCGGTCAGGCTTATATCACTCACAAACAAGTACCTTGTTTATGGGGAGCACACACAAGTTTGTAAGCACTGCACCCCGCTACACGTTTTATAGGTTTGTCCAGGTTTCGATAACGAATGTCGTGCTTATTTTTCCGATTTGCTTCGTTTCCAAATCCCATTCCATCCTTCTATTTTACAGGGAGAATATTCTCTCATTGCATTTAAGTTTAACCGTGTCGTATCTTTTATTACTAGCACGGGCTTTATACGTGGTCCTACATACAGTTATAATTATTGTTTTTTGTACATTACCATAGCAGCATTTCTTTTTAATTAGCTTGTGTGTGTGCTTGTCTGTGCGTGTTCGCGTGTGTAGGTGGACGTGCATGCTTGTGGGCTTGCGCGCGCGCGTGTCTGTGCGCGCGTTTGTATCTTACGTGTGCGTATTGTACGTGGGTGTTGTGCGTTTTTGCTTGCGTGCTGCGTGTGCCCGTGTCTGTGTATGTACGCGTGCGTCCATGTGTGTGTACATGCGTACGTGTGTGCATGTCCGTGTGCGTGGGCGCGGGTGTGAGTGTGTGCTCGGGTGTGTGTGCCTGTGTGTGTGTTTACGCGCGTGCGTGCGCGCGTGTGTGGTTGTACATCTGTATTTGTGTGTGTGTGTTCCCTCTTGTACTTGTGTCCGCGCGCGCGTGTGTGCGCGTGTGGGCATGTGTGCTGCGTGCCTGTGCTTGCGCCTTTGCGTGTGTGTGTGTGTGTCTGCGCGTGTGGGTGTCGTGTTTGTGAGTGTGTAAGTGTGTTTGAACACGTATGTGTATGCGAGCAGTTGCAAAGGAACAGCTGAGTCATCATCACACTGCACGTGGAGGTTGCGAGCCAATCGGCAACTTGTAAGTTACGGGCGTACCAACTATTGTAGCTCGCGTAAGGGGTTCACCACCTCCTAAGTTGGACGTACCGCAAGACCTTGTACAGAGGGAGTTTCGCGGCTGCACAATAACACTCCCGAGACACGTGAGGTGCACGTTGGGACGCTGCCTTAGAAGGCTGCACCGTGACCGGGAGCAACCTCTCTTGTTCCAGATTCCATGGACCTTCCTGATCGACAAGTGTCTGTGCAACTGGTTCCCGAGACTCGCGGGCATGGCCGTGTGGACGGCTTTCATCGGCACCCTGGCCCTGAGCAACATCCCCTACTACCGGGAGTACTACCTCGTCTTGGCGGGCACGATCGCGCAGTCGCCCTAAGCGTGTCCTGTGGCTCCAGCTTGGGCCTCCCAAGAAACGGAACTGTGCAAGCTGCGTGTGGGGGCCCCGTGGGGGCCCACTTCGTTCTTTTCTACTTCCTCTTTTGACTCGCAGCACCATCGCCATTCGCCATGCACAAACGCTGGTGTGGTCGCGAGCGCGCGTGATTAAAGACATTCCATCCGAGACATCGGAGTCGCTTGACATCTTTTCTACAAACTGGTGACCCGGACGTGATTTACTCCGATCATCCAGGTGAATGTTCTCCGCGACCTGGGACACTACAACGATGCGGCTTCGGACGAGGGGGCGGAGGTCAGTAGCGTCTTCTTCAGGCTCGGCCTCCGCACCTGCGGCCTACATAACCTCCTCTCCCATCGCGTCTGCCGCCGGCACGTCGGGATGCATCCACTTCGGTCGTCCCTGCAGGCTCGGCAGGCTGGCCTGCGGCTCTATCTTCGCCGCTGCCGTCACTGCTCTGCCACCGGCTACGGTGCGTCGTTGTCCGTCAAGAGCAGTGCGGCTGTTGAGTCGTAGAGCATCAGCGTCGCTCGTCAGCTCAACACCGCGGCTCTGAGGAATGTACTATCGGGGAAAAATTAAATGCGAACAGAGGAGCGCGTGGCTCGCGGTACAGGCTGCGCCGCCTGGAGGTGAGCCTAAGGGCGAGGGTACGTGGCCTACTCCGACGTGTTCACGCCCCTCCTTCTGCGCTCCCCAAGCTTCAGCAGTGCGCCTCTTAGTGCGCTGAAAGCTATCACCGCTCTCTTTGCTGGCTCAGCGCGTGTGGTGCAAAGAAGCTCGCCGCACTCGCCGAGCAGGCAAAGATAGCGGTGGCAGCTTTCAGCGCGCTGAGAGGCGCACTGCTGAAGCTGGAGGAGCGCCAATCGAGGAGCGTGAACACATCGGAGTAGGCCACGCACCCTCGCCCCTAGGCTCACTTCCAGGCGGCGCAGCCTGTACCGCGAGCCACGCACTCCTCTGTTCGCATTTCATTTTTCCCCGATAGTACCTGCAGCGACCCCTCAGGTGGTCGCATCATTCTGCGAGTCTGAGGTTTACATCGAGTCACCGGCGAGTCCCCGCTGTTTCCGCTGGAGGCAACTACGGCAGCATAGCAGGCAGTCGATTCCCTTTGCCTGCAGCCTGCCAGCCCACTTTCATCTCAGCGGTTATCGGACGCTGCCTCAGCCCTATAGACCCATCAGAGAAAAAAGCGGCACCTGTCGTACGCAACAGCAACTAGTGGCAGCCGCCATGCTGCAGGATAGTGCGCGCCGCTGCATACGCTGCGTTGGCCGTAGACGCTAGTCAATTCCTGCCCACGATGCCAACGTACTGCTGCGTACCCCTCCGTAAGCAGAGTGAATATCTGGACAAGTCTGGCATTAAGGTACATGTTCGTAAATGTACTCGTTATCGGTTGCAGAGGTCGGCATTTTAGGTCGCCCTCACTCACCCTCACCCTCACAGCCACACTCACCTAAGCCCCTCACTCACCCTCACCCTCACAGCTACACTCACCTTCAGCCCCTCACTCACCCTCACCCTCACAGTCACACTCAACTTTAGCCCTTCACTCACCCTCACCGAACCTCACGACCCTCACGCACTCACCGCCCTCACGGCCCTCACGCCCCTCACCGCCCTCACGGCCCTCACGCCCCTCACTCACTCATGGCCCTCACGGCCCTCACGCCCCTCACGCCACTCACCGGCCTCACGGCCCTCACGGCCCTCACGGCCCTCACCGCCCTAACGGCCCTCACCGCCCTCACGGCCCTCACCGCCCTCACGGCCCTCACCGCCCTCACGGCCCTCGCGCACTCATAGCCCTCACGCCACTCATTGCCCTCACCGCCCTCACCGCCCTCACGGCCCTCACCGCCCTCACGGCACTCATGCCACTCACCGCCCTCACGCCACTCACCGCCCTCACGCCACTCACCGTCCTCACGCCACTCACCGCCCTTGCGGCCCTCACACCCCTCACGCCCCTCACGCACTGATGGCCCTCACGCCACTCAGGCCAGCTTCAGATGGGGCAATTTCGCCCAGAAACTTTACGTCGCAACACCAGCAACACGGGCCGCCCGCGATCACACGCAGCAACCAAATGCTGCAATTTGCCATCGTCAACATAAAATTTTATTTTTCTTGCACTATTTAGACACAATTACGCGTTATAAACGTGTTTTTATGCATTTAAATCTCGTTAAGAATACTAATGCACCTTTCTGAAACAGTTTATTTCCAGAAAAACGATCGATTTCAAACCAGAAACAAGTCTTTCGGTGTCATCATCACCGGCACGAGGTATCACGTGAAAATTTTGCGTCCCTGATTGGATGCACCCGCTTCAAACGTATTCGAATCGCTCCGAGTTGCTTGCTTATTTCGAGCCGGACCCGATCTCAGCAATTCGTGTCGATCTAGGGAAAGCTAGAGAACAACCCGTCATTAACACCAAAATTGCTGAGAAAGATGCTCGATCTGAAGAGGGCCTCATGCATTCACCGCCCTCACGCACTCATGGCCCTCACACACCTCATGCACTCACCGCCCTCACGGCCCTCACGCCTCTCATGCCACTCACTGCCCTCACGCACTCATGGCCCTCACACCACTCACGCGCTCATGGCCCTCACGCCGCTCACCGCCCTCACGCCCCTCACGCACTCATGGCCCTCATACCCCTTACCACCCTCACCGCCCTCAGGGCCCTCATGGCCCTGACGGCCCTCACGCCCCTCACCGCCCTCACGGCCCTCACGGCCCTCACCGCCCTCACGGCCCTCACCGCCCTCACAGCCCTCACGGCCCTCACCGCCCTCAGCCCTCACGGCCCTCACGGCCCTCACGGCCCTCACTCACCCTCACACTCATGAATTTTCCTGGTTCAGAAACTCACTCACCCTCACCTCACCTGTGAAGATGAGGGTGAGTGAGGGTGAGTGAGGGCCCTCATGAGTGAGGTTTGCCGAGGTATGATCGGTTGACGGCGGCGTAGACGCGCACACGTTTCCCTGCTGAAGTGCAAAAACGGAACACGAACCGTTCCCACGCTACGCTCCTTGGGTGTTTGAGTCAGGTGTTTTGAATCTCACTTTGTTGCGTTTGGAGGTAGAGTTTTCAAGTTTCAGCTGATTTGAAGAAATCAAAGCATCAAATACAAATATAATGTTGCTCGCGGTATCGCTTGTGGACGTGACAGCTTCGCGAGCGCCTAGCTTCAGGTATTCACGAGCTCGCGGTGCTTCAAACTTTCGCGTGTAAATTATATGTTAGGTACGCATGAAGACATACCACCTGACGCTTTAACCTGCCTGTAGCGCAGACATCTGTGCAGCGCGCGCTTTATGCAAAGCAACATGAACGCGCTTACAATTTCTGCTTTACTGCAAAATTTGCTGCTCTACATTTCGACTGTAAAATCCCTTTCAAGAAAAAGGGACTCGACGTATGAAGTAGGAACTTGCGTCGAATACGTCCTTTACTGGTTGAATTTGCGCATTGAAATTTTAAGTCTTAATTCCAAGTAGAGAACAAAACAAAAATGCCCCAAAAAAGTCAGTTTTTTTTTTTCGTTGGTTTTGTACTTAAAGTAGAGGTTTAGATTTTTATTGAGTAAATGAGACAAGTAGAGTATGTACTTGAGGCAAGTTCCAACTTGATACTCAGTTGCTGATTTCCGACGGGCCATTAATTGTAGCTTCGTAGCTCTAATTTTGCGACACTCAAAAATAAGTGGCTCAATATCTCAAGTTGAAACTTACCTCAAATACATATTTTACTAGTCCCACTGACACAATAAAATTTCAAGTGTCTATTTCAATACTTAAAAAATTTAAACTAAAAAAACTCACCCATTTTAAAGCATAGGTTATTTTTTGTATTTGAAATCTGGACTTAAAATTTTAATCCGTAAATCCGACCAGTAAAATATGTATTCGAGGTAAGCCTCTACTTGATATGTCGAGTCCCTGGTTTTTGTAGGCGATTTCAGTGTCGAAACTTTATATTGAAGTACCCTGTACAGCAACTTGAGGTTTTATTTGTTTTTCGTAATATTTATTGTACACGGTCTTTGTCATACATGAAACCCGTGATGGCTGTGTACTAACGATGGCCTCGTGTGTCTACATATTTGAACACGAAGAAGCAATCTGCAGTGTAGAAATTTGGGAGGGCCGGGGCGAGCGGCAGCGGATTTCTGGAAGTCGTCGGCACAAGCGACGGCACAAGCGACGAAAGTCGGCTACGAGCGACGAAAATGTTTCACTGTCGCTTGTCGCGTCGCTTGGTTTGGGATTTCTAGAAAACGACGCTCATCGCCTTGGTCGCCCGCTCGTCGCTTTTATGCGATGTGCTTCCCGAGCGACAGCGAAGCGAGTCCCCTGCGTCTGTTTCGTCGCACATCCGGAGAGTACCGGCGGCCTCTAACTACAGCCCGTAAATTATAACCGGTTCCTATAATTTTCTGATGCATACTAACACATGTCTGAGGTCGTAACTACAAAGATCTTAGTAATTACCTTTTTCTCGCGTAGTTGGCCGTTATGGATGCGGCGACCACGAAGCCCTCAACGAGGAAGTTGCAACTTCTGTCGAATTGTCGTTCAGAGTCCGATCGGCTCTTGAAGAAGCGATATACGCCTCCTCATCTTTAACGGCTGGGAGCTGGGAAAGGTCGTTTATCCAAACCGTGATCGGGAAAACGCTACCTGCAGCCATACAAAGGCGAAGGGATCGACGAAACAAGAACACTACAGTCAAAACTACTATGCCGGCCGCAACGGAGTCCTTCCCAATGGCGCCGGCCACCCAATGTTGTTGGACTCGTTCAGCGGATTTTCGCTGTTGCCAGATGTTTTGAAAGGGGCCTATTACCACGCTCAGTTCAACTTCGCCGGCTTCTCAGTCCGACACCTGCAGCCAGTTCCCGACCGCAGGCAACGTGGGGACCCCGTGGGGGCTTACTTCGTTCTTTTTTACTTCTCGCAACACCATCGCCATTCGCCATGCACAAACGCTGGTGCGGTCGCAAGCGCGCGTGATTAAAGACATTCCATCCGAGACATCGTAGTCGCTTGACGTCTTTTCTACACTGCGCCTGCGACGCGAACCATAAGACTTTCAAATATTTGTATTTATTGTACATATTAAAACATAAGGAAAC